AATAAACATACGTCAGGTAATATAAGCTTCATTTCATCGGATTGTCTTAAATATAACTGCATAAATATTGTACAATCCTATACTAATTATAGTTGTCTGGTGCAACAGGTTACTACAGAAACTAACTACTGCCTACGTCTTTTAAACTTGGGCTGTAGTAGTATCTGCAGAAACTGCCATGGTTGCTGGGGTTACTATATAATTTGCTCACGGAAGCACGCACAAGTGTCAGTCAGATTTCGACAGTTGGCAATAGCGATAAAGGATCACGTTTCAAAACTCTTGTACATGCTCCGTGGGTTCCACGATCCCACGTTCCACAACACGGGGTCCCTGGCGCCTCCACTGGGGGTTCCATGACCCCACGTTGTCACCACACGGGAACTCTGGCGCCTCCACCGGGGGTTCCATGACCCCACGATGTCATCACACGAACTTTCTGGCGTCTCCTCAAGGGGTTCTGTGACCCCACGTTCTCACCACAGGGGGGCTCTTGCACCTCCACCGGGGTTCCATGACCCCCACGTTCTCATCACACGGGGTCTCTGGCGTCTCCACCGGGGTTCTATAACCCCACACCTCAACACACGGGGTCTCCTACGTATACATTGTGAATTCATGTAATTTTTAGAATATTGATATTGATATTAATTTATGAACCGAGATTATGGTTTTACAAGTATGTGTTATATGTATGCACTATGAATTAAACTATTAGTGGATCTCTTGATCAAAGTATATTAAAAATTATTATTCAACATATAAAACATTAAGCTGTAAGCATTTGCAAACTAATGGAGTATATACATTGTGTAAAAAAATGTATTATTTATTAATGTATACATATATTTATTTATATATTATCGTTTATCCTTTAATATAAAATACTTTACAGTTATGTAGCACAATGTGAGATGTGTAATTTCAATAAGTGACCGCTAATTTGTATGGTATGAACACTGCTTTCTTCGCCATTCATGTTATAAACCTGAAGTACATATTCACATAAACACATTAGGTGCAATTAGGTGCCGTTTTGTCAGCTCGTATGCGTGTAGGACTACGTTTAGAATGAAGTACGTATGAATTATATGGTGAAAAAGACTGAACCGTAGACAGATATGGAAGGACATGAAGAAGATGACTTAGAGGAGCTGAATTCAACTGTTTGTACACTTCCACCGAATGTACAAAATGTGATTGAACAGGTTAGAACCTAGACAGAACTGTCAAACTGTTCACAGCTGTCACCTTAACGCGTAGTTTATATTTTCTTATCAGTCGTAATGCTTTTTCGTTGCCTATCAATGTTTATCCATACGTTATCGATAAAATCATATCGCGCAAACAATCTTAAAATATCATAGTTAATTAAATTTGACAATTATTCCTTTCCAGCAAAATGTATCTTCACAACACTTAATATCCACCTAGATTTATATAAAACATTTACATACATCTGTCTTTTCACTTTTAGGTTTTACCTAGTACGGATCCATTGGACCAACCAAACTTCAATGTAGTGGACTATATAAATTCACTGTTCCCAACAGAACAGTCCCTCTCAAACATAGATGATGTAGTAAATAATATGGAATTAAAAATACGTACCATTGACAAACAGATCCGCTCTGTGGTACGTGGTCAGACAAATGTAGGACACGATGGAAGAGCAGCATTAGAAGATGCACAAAAAGTCATAAAGCAATTATTTGTACATATTAAAGATATAAAAGATAAAGCTGAACAATCTGAGGAAGTGGTTAAGGAAATAACAAGGGATATTAAACAGTTGGACTTTGCCAAAAGAAATCTCACTGCCTCAATAACTGCTTTAAATCATCTGCATATGCTTGTAGAAGGTGTAGATACCTTAAAGTATAGTATCTTGATTTTGTTTGTAAAATATATATATATATTCATTATAAATGGAAAAATTAGATGTTCCATGATATCAATATTTCTTCAGGGTATTAACACAAAAGAAACAATATGGTGAAATTATATTACCATTGCAAGCTGTCATGGAAGTAATGCAACACTTTAATAGTTACATGGATATACCTCAAGTGAAACAATTGTCCGATGAAGTATATAGTATTTCATTTAAAAAGATTCATTCAATAATCAATGCATATTTTCCTTTAACATTTTAACTTACAGGTGAGTCACATACGTCATGAATTGGCCCAACAAATTACAACAGATTTCAAACAAGCATTCTCTGGTCAAAACCCAAAGTCCTTTAATCAACTAACAGAAGGCTGTTTAGTGTTATCTATATTAGATATACGTATATTCAAGTATGTACGTTTATTATATTATAAAGTGTGAAGCAAATTTAAAAATGACTGTAATAACTTATCTTTTTTACAAGGAAAGATCTGCTTACCTGGTTTGTGGGTATTCAGTTACAAGAATATGCACATCTGTTTGAAGAGAATCAAGATTTTGCATGGTTGGATAAAATTGATCGTAGATATGCATGGATAAAAAAGCATTTGCTCGATTTTGAATCGAAATTCGGGACAATCTTTCCACAAGACTGGGAAATTTCAGAAAGGATCGCTGTAGAATTTTGTAATGTCACGCGAGAAGATCTGACTAGGCTAATGCACAAAAGACGTTGTGAAATAGATGTAAAATTATTACTCTATGCAATTCAAAGAACTAGTAACTTTGAGTCATTGTTAGCAAAAAGATTTAGTGGTATTACTTTAGAAAATACGGAAACAGTAAATAAAAAAGGTACTATCAATACTGATACCACAGATAAAGTTCAGGACAATCCATTTGAAGAGAATGAACAGGTACCCTGTCTTTGATATCTTCTGTACAGTACACTTGTATACAATGTATAAGAATATTGTATTATGTATTAGGTACAAAATGAAAAACCGAAGACATCGCCGTTTTCAAATCTCATTGGTACATGTTTTGAGCCATATTTAAACATTTATATAGAAAGTTTAGATCGCAATTTAGCGGACTTAATGGAGAAATTTATATCGGATTCTAAAACACAACCACCCGGTGCTAAAGACTTTGATGGTATCGAGGGACCTAGTAGCGTTTTATCTTCCTGTGCAGATTTGTTTGTATTTTATAAAAAATGCATGTTGCAATGTACACAACTTAGCACTGGCTTGATTATGTTAAGCCTGGCTGAAACTTTCCAAAAATATCTGCGAGAATATGCCCTTAAAATTCTTCAAAATAATTTACCCAAGTAAGTAAGATGCGCAGTATAAATGTTACTTAAAATTATTATTCTGTGAATCTTAATAATGTAAAATCAACTACAGAATTGGAGGCAGTGCAGGACTTGCCACAAGTATGAGTAGTATAACACGTGACTTCCGAGATCTCTCAACTTCCGGTTTTATACAAAATTTTCAAAGTTTTTTGAAAGAAGGTGAAAATACTAGGTTTAGCAAAGAAGAACAATCACGTATATGCTGGTAAAGATTTGCTTGTTGATCGTATTGTCATTAATGTAACAGTAAAATGGAAGTACATTATCTGCATCTACGTTACAGCATATTAACTACAGCAGAATATTGCTTAGAAACAACGCAACAGTTGGAAGAAAAGTTGCGTGAGAAAACAGATAAATGTTATGCTGAAAAAATTAATTTGTCTCAGGAACAAGATATTTTTCACAAGTACTAACAATATATTTTACTCGCTATACATTCGCTAGTTTCTATTTTATTAAAAATTAGTAAAATTTTTTCAGTGTCATATCAAATTGTATCCAACTACTTGTTCAAGATTTAGAATCGGCATGCGAATCCGCGTTGACTGCAATGACCAAGGTGTTTTAAGTTGTTCGATATTTATCCTCTTATTTCTACTAAAATTTACATAATTCTGTTTGTCTATACTAATACACATTTATTGTTTCAGGTTCAATGGAGTGTCATAGAAGTTGTTGGTGATCAAAGCAATTATGTCAATACTATTGTGGCACATCTGCGACAAACAATACCTACTATCAGAGATAGATTGTCTTCATGCAGGAAATACTTCACACAACTGTGTGTGAAGTTTTCAAGGTACATACATTTGATGTTTGTTCAGATCATTTAATAATATCACGAAGTTTTAACAATTTACTTCCTTTGTAGCTCTTTTATAGTGAAATTAGTACAGCAATTATATAAATGCAAACCTTTAAATACCGTGGGTGCTGAACAATTATTATTAGATGTGCACATGCTGAAAACTGCTCTTTTAGATCTTCCATCAACAGGTTATCAAGTACAAAGAAAAGCGCCAGCGACATATACTAAGGTAATATTCTTCATCGACAAAATATTTATACCAGTACTGTTCAGGGGAATGGCAAAGGGCACCTTAAGCCGTGAAAGTTACAAGACCCTAAATTAACCTCGTAGTTATCCTAAGTGTTTCTGATTACGTAGATCAGTGTTTTATAGGTATTCTATTCAAAACAATTTCTATTGTAAATAGGTAGTAGTAAAGGGCATGGCAACTGCTGAAATGATTCTCAAAATTGTAATGTCACCAATTGAAACTCCAAAAGATTTTGTAAAACAATGTAGAATGCGTCTACCGGATTTACAAGCGCCCGAATTTCAAAAAATTTTGGACATGAAAGTAAATATTTAATTCTTGCTTCGTAGATTTAGTACCTTTACGTAACATATTGTGACTAAATAATTTATAGGGTTTGAAGAAAACAGAACAAGTTCTATTGTTAGAACAATTTAAACAGCCTGAGAATATGGTTGTCTCGCATGACACCAGAAGTCATATTATTCAAGACAGTCCGGAACACGAAGCCGGACGAATAAAGAGACTAGAAAAATTGATAAAGAAAAGAATATAAGCATATTTCATAGTAAAGCTTATATTGAATTGTACATACTGACTTGAAATATATCTATATACAATTTAAACATTTTTGAAAAATGATATACCTTAAACTTTATTTCAGTGTATATAAATGCTGTAAATCGTAAGTAACGTTGTTTACACACTTATAATATTGTGATTAAACTAATTTTTGTATTAAAGTAATCGAAGGACGTGTGTGTTATTTAGAACACAGAATATTCGACTTTTATAGTTTATTGTTGTACATTGTAAACAATACCCGATTAACACGATGATGTTAACCCTGTTTTTGCGCAAGTTCTTTCGCCTTAGCTTTTTCTAACTTAGCTATCCTGGCAGCAGATTTGCTACCCAAAAGACCACCACCCCAGTGACGTCTGATTTCATCATATCTGTCATTGAAATTTGTCTTGATAGCTTCAACCAGTTTTGCAAAGTTGGCTCTGTCACCGGAATCGATCTGTAACTGAATTAAAATGTTATAGAAAAAAATTACAAATACCATAAAGATAAATATATCAACAAAAAAATCAGTCATATATGTTTTGGTTATATCATAAATGGTATCATTGGATTGGCTCTTGTTGTATTCATCATGTTATAAATTACTATCACTCATTTAAAGTGTATAGATAAACTGAAAGTAATTTCAGATAAAATTGTAATTGTTTTTACCTGAGTCAGAGCTACTGTACTACAAGTTTTACGCCTAACCAGACGCCCCAAACGTGCTTTTCCTTTAACAATACAGTAAGGTACACCCATTTTACGGCAAAGTGCTGGCAGGAAAAGAACAAGCTGTAAATAAAAATAATGTGTTAAATATTGTAAAATAAAATACTTGCATTATAAAATTAATTGGATGCTATACTCAGGCTGTCATTTGTCATTCCTTGAATAATATTAATTATATCAAATATATTCTCAGGTGAAGAAATTCTTTAACATCATTGTATAAAACAATTTGAACAGTAAACTAAACTATAATGAAAAACAAATTAAAGCAATTATTTACCTCAATTGGATCCACATCGTGTGCAATCACTACAAGCTGAGCTCTCTTCTGTTCAACAAGGGAAGTTACTTTGTTTGTTCCACTATGTACTACATTGGGTTTCTTGGTTGGTACATCTTCCTTCTTGGCAATTTTTTGTTCAGCTCTAGCCTTCAACCTCATTTTCTTCATTGCTGATGATTCAGGCCTGTACTTCTCCATCATTTTAAACAACTGTGTGGCTGCAGCAATTACACAAAAAAGTTAACAGTCATTTCTACATTATTTCAATTCTTGTAATTCTCTGCACCTACAAACCTGTTTGTTTATCCAATGTTTGTGTAAACTGGTTGATTGGTGGTGGTACTTTTAATCTCTTTTGCAGCACAGCCTTTTGCCTCTGGATACGAATGTATTTGGGCCATTTCACAAAGCGACTAAGGTCACGTGCAGGTTGAATATCCTGTCCTAAATACCAAATACTTTTTATTACCACATTACACAAATACCATTTGACAACTGTACATGTAAATTAGTGATTTCATTTACCAATTCCAAAATTGCGAGTCCGTTTCTCAAACAGAGGATTGGTCTGTTTCTTGGGTTCAACTTTCTTCACTGCCAGTGGGGCAGCTGCCACCTTCTTCCCTACCTTCTTCTTCGGCTATGTAATTACAAGAATACAACTTTTAAAATACATATTCGGTAAACACTAAACTAGATTCACTATTTTAGTATAATAATAAAGGTTGGAAGCGTAGTGGTTAACCATATATAATAAAACCTTGTAGCTTTAATACTACCTTAAACACTCATTTATCAAGTTCCAATAAATGATTTTGCTCACAATAGTTTACAAACATAATGAATGAATAAATAGATAACACGAGGAAAACATATACTGTTCTAATGCACCCAAAACATGCCGAATTCTAACTATTTCAATTCATAATAATATCATGTCACGGCTAGAAATATTATTTGTATTCGGCAATTTAGTAGATTTACCTTTTTTTGGACCATTGTCTTAAGTGAAAATCTAATGGATCCTTTATATCACAATGGATATAAAAGTTTGTACTTCGCTTGACACAACGCGAAGTACGGGTGCCGAGAACGTAAAGGACGATTCTTCCCGCAGCGCCACCATACGCAACAGCAGCGCCACTTGACAAATAATGTCTTAGACTAATAACTTCTAGAGAAGAAACACAGTAATTAATTTCTCTTTTTGGACTTACCTAGTTTCCAGCTGTTTTAAAAAGCCATTTTAATACTATGATCCGCTTGATAAACTTGGAATTATTATGTTTTAATTGATTTTACTTTATTATGAGCGTGTAAATAACGAAGCAAAGCATTTATTCTATAAATGTAGGATTACATTTTATCTTTACAGATAGCATAGCTGTGCGGCGTTTATAAGTAACTACGAAAAGAATCGACGATTTGTTATTTCAATTCTACTTTTATCTTTCCAAAATAAATAGTACACTACATATTAATACTTCTAATAAAGTATAAAGTTGTAATGAATGATATAATAGTGGTGTAATTAATCACTCTTCAAAATTTTGTTGTTCATCCTACAAAATTATTATTAACTGGAAATTAAATTACCATGCTTTCAAAGCAGAGGAATAGAGATCTTATTTCATAAATATAGAATTACTTTTTTTGTCTTCACACCTAGCAGAGCTGTGCGTTTATAAATAAATACAATAATTTAAATAATAATTACATATGTAATAATAGAGTTTTATGCTTATTTAAATTATCGAATTTTAATCAATAATGAGATAATGGATTAGTTAATAATCTTATTGAATTTTATTTTGTATACTACAAGGATTTAATGAATTTGAAAATGTAACAATAGATTGTCAATTTCCAAAGTGCGCATGCGCATGCTGTTCTAAGTGGAGGCATCAGTAGGAGTCGCGCGTGCGACCTACGCGCCTCCAGTTAGATTATGTTCTGAGGAAGGACGGTTAGCAAGCATTCGAGCTGCGTCAGTGTTCGTAGTGTGTCGACGATTCGTCTTCGAACGTTCCTGCTATGAACGCTACTGTCCGATATCTTGGAAACTTTCGTTCGTTAGTGTACTCGTGACGGTATGCAATTTCGCTGGTTAGTGATCGCCGACTTATCGTAGCATTTCCTTCCGTCCATCCGTCGATTCCAGGAAGCCTCACGTTTTCTATTAGAGCGTACATTTAGAAGCATTAGCTACAGGTAACGACAGAGGGTCAAGGCTGCTCGTATTATGTTCTTTCAAATATTAATCGTACTCGAAATGCATTCATTCAGTCTTTCCGAAAGTATCGAGAGTTCGATGAAGTAGTCGCTGCCTGCATTGCACGCTGTAGCCGTCATCCGGCGTTTTGTTGGCCGTTACCGACAGAAACTTTAGAAACTCCTGACGATTGCTATCCAATGAATTTACACTGATTAATACATTATTTGAAATGGTATAGCGTTAAATTATAATTATATTAGAATATTTGAAATGTTTAAAGCAATTGTAGACTTCGCATGCAACTAATACAGGTGTGTACTATTTTTATTATAACAAACTATTTAAAAATACTTTAATTTAAAATTGTAAATGAAATATTAGAGTAAAATATATTGTTCGATTAACACGAATTGTTTATGGAAATCAATTACTTGTATCTTCTGGACGTATTATTAATTTAATCTTTGGAGCATATACCCAAATATCGTTGTTAACATACCGCAACACGTTGCCTGACCATATTTTCTGAAAAAGATAATAATTGACATTTTTTGTGCGTAATATTTAATAATTTTGCATCAGTGTTATTTTCTCAAACTTTTACTTTGTAATCGTAGCTTTCAATTACTGTTGTAAAATTCCATTTTTATGCGAAGAAAACGGTATTGGCGTTCGTATTTTTAATGATCGGTCGTATTATTGATCAGGTAGAGTGTCGATCATTGGAGATGACGATCCGGAAAATTTGCGGTATCGGTGCCGGGTATGTGGGCGGCCCTACCTGCAGCGTGATCGCCTTAAAGTGCCCCGAAATCCAGGTAACCGTCGTGGACAAGAGCAAAGAAAGGATAGCTCAATGGAATTCCGACAAGCTGCCAATTTACGAGCCCGGCCTGGACGAGGTGGTGGGAATGTGCCGCGGGAAAAATCTATTTTTCTCCAACGACCTGGAGACCGCAATCAAGGAGGCGGACTTGATATTCATCTCCGTCAACACACCGACGAAAATGTTCGGAAACGGCAAAGGAAGAGCGGCAGATTTGAAGTATGTCGAGAGCGCGGCCAGAATGATAGCTGAAATTGCCACCGGGGACAAAATCGTGGTCGAGAAGAGCACCGTGCCGGTTAGAGCGGCCGAGAGTATTATGAACATTCTGCGTGCCAATCACAAGCCCGGAGTCTCGTATCAGGTAATGTTACTAAAAATATATTTATGAACAATTCCGAGAAACCAATGAAATTTCAATTATGTTCCTGGCAGCATTGGAAGTTGGTGTCTTGCAAATGGAAGTCCATTATAATAGTTTCTATACGCTGATTTTATAGGAGATTGAGTATAGTGATGGGGAATACACTATTTAATGGCCTTGAACGGTAATATTATTTCACGTTGTTCTTTCAAATACGTAGTAGGCTTGAAATAACTTCCTTCGAAAATTTCAAATTCGAGTAAAAACTGTATAATTTTAGAAAATTTCCAAAAGTTCGAGAAAAGTTTTTTGCCGTATTTTGCGATATATTGCATTTTTTGTCTTTAATTATAATTTTGTAACGTATGATTTGTCACGTTCATGTAATATTCTTTACTTAATTTTGCTCGTATAATATTAACGTGTTACATATTGGCCAGTTATTTTTAGATTATTCCGTTACACGTATACATTTCTCAAAACAATTGACCCTTGCTGGTGATCAGTGAGTTCTGTGCGGAAACGCTCATGGGCATACAGCACACGTGTTTCCCAAATGGGACCGTAGGATTTCCGCACACGAGGCATGCTAAGCGCTCAAATCACGACGTCGAAAAAATTAGAGACTTAAATGATCACATCTGTTTGTGAAAACGAATTCCTTTTAATTGTCCATTTGCAGCGATAATAATAAGTGTTCTTTGGACAGACCTGGAAATGACGAACAAAACCAGAGAAGCTTCTTGTGTATTCCCACTTAATTAATTCACATTCAACAGTATGTTGAATCTTTTAATTCAACTGGATTGATAACGATACAGTCGTGTGAACAAACGACTCTTTAATTAGCGATACTGTCGCGCAATTTCGACATTCAAAAATTTAAATATTTACTTTAACGGTTTATCAATTACCTGTTCTCAACCCGTTTCGAGACCATTGCTCAATAGACAGTCGGAAGCGATTTCAGCGGTGTCTTTATTAGCCGATGGTTGAGAAACAGTAAAACGTATTTTTCGGAGTCGACAATGGGTAACTTTAAATAAAAAAAAACTGAAAAACATCTTCATTTATGTGAACTTTACCGCAAGAAAAGAATTTCAGGTCTTGACTGGAAAACTACTTTATCCCCCTTACTTTAAACCTTCAACAATTCGATTATTATCTATTGGTGTCCTTGCAAAATAATTTAACGAAAAACTATTTTAAAATGAAAACCGTATAATATTAATACTCGTACAGTGTTCTTCGTTGAAATAGACAATTTATACGAAAACGAAATAATACAAATGTGAGTCATGTTAGTAGGAGATCGTATCGAAGTTTATTACGGCTATATAAACGATCGACACGATAAAAATAATAATATAAGGATTTTTCTGAGGTATCTAAATACCCGTTGACTTTACGCCGATCGGATTGTTCAAGGCGTATGTACCATCTGTTATTTGCGCAATCGTTCATGACCTTTTTTCTTTCACCGGCTGGCTTTTTCCATACTATGTATTACGCATTGCTTTATATCATCGCCGAGAACGAATCGAATACACGTACAATTGTACCAGAACGATACCGTAATCTATTTTGCAGATCCTGTCGAATCCGGAATTTCTTGCGGAAGGAACTGCGATCGAGGATCTGGTGAACGCGGATCGCGTTTTAATAGGGGGCGAGGACTCGCCGGAAGGGCATGCAGCGATCGAGGAATTGTGCAAGGTGTATGAGCATTGGATCCCCCGGAAAAACATACTGACGACAAACACATGGAGCTCCGAGCTCTCGAAGCTGGTGAGGAAATTTCCGTCCCCCGAAAAATCCGTTCCCCGAAGAACCACGTGAAACAAACATACCTGAAATTTGCGCAACGGCCATACAAGGAAGCGACGTTCAATTTCTGTTCTTTATTTACCCCTTGTCTAGATGTGTCCTTATCAACAAATCCAACGACAAAAAAAAAAGTATTGCTTACCGAATGTCTGTGCGCTTTTGCATGGTCGTTGACGTCACTGTTCTGGTAATCGAACTGCGATTCAGAACCATAAACCTGTACGCAGTATTTCGCCCGGTTTTATCTTTGATTCAATATTTGCCGAATATCGATGTAATGGAATCGAGACTTGGCTTGCGTAACAATGTTGGCTGAATTTAATTACGATTTCTTTTAGGCCGCCAATGCCTTTCTCGCGCAACGCATATCGAGCATAAATTCCCTGTCCGCGGTCTGCGAGGCTACCGGCGCCGATGTCTCTGAGGTCGCCCGGGCGGTCGGCCTTGACTCCCGTATAGGATCGAAGTTCCTTCACGCATCCGTGGGATTCGGCGGCTCTTGTTTCCAGAAGGACATCCTAAATCTGGTCTACATATGCGAGTGCCTGAATCTGCCTGAGGTGGCCGCCTATTGGCAGCAGGTGATAGACATGAATGAATACCAGAAATCACGTTTCTCCGCGAAAGTGATTGAATCGCTGTTCAACACCGTCACGGACAAACGGATCACGATCCTTGGCTTCGCGTTCAAGAAGAACACTGGGGACACGCGTGAGTCACCGGCGATTCACGTCGCCAAGACCCTGCTCGACGAGGGTGCCATGCTTCACATATACGATCCCAAGGTGATTTTCTGTAACGAGCATTCACGGGCGGCACAAGGGCGTGCCTCATGATGCGTGGATATAATTTCACGGATGATTTAACTGTCCGGAGATGATGGAACACTAAGGGGGGGGGGGGATCAGCTAGAGAAACAAGTCACCTTAATATGTACATACATTTGTACGCCGGCAAGGTTTCGGTTGTTTTTGTAATATGTACCAGCAGTTTTACGGAATTGAATATGTTGTAATCCGATAACAGAGGACAGACGGTTACAATGTACTTTTTATTTTTTCTTTAATAGGATTGCAATGGTAATGGTGATGATATTACGGTGGTCTGTTTCTAGTGGAGCACACTGTATACAGATCTCGTTAATTGTGAACATGTATATTATTTATGTTGCTATTGAGGATACGAAGAAAATGAGTAAAGCAAAGCTGCACGGTCCAAGGATCTGCGTCCGAGAATACGGAAAATCTCGCCAGAGGGTTTTGAATCATGTGCATGAATAGCAGTGAAAATTTTGTAAATGTTCGTAATTAGTGGGACACCCTGTATACGTTTGTCCTAACTGATCTGGTTCAGGTCAACTTCAATTCTTTAACCGGTCTGTTGTCCTCGTTATGGAGTCAATCCTCGAACTCTGTTCTGCTTCAATGATTTTGAAACGTACTTTTATGTCTTCAAACTTCAAAAATAATCATTTCAAGAATTTTGTAAGAATTACTTGGTGGAAGTTGATATAAATTTTGTATTTATTCGTACAGGTGGAAGAAAGCCAAATTCTCGAAGATCTGACACATCCGAGCGTGACAAATGATCCTGAACATGTAAAAAGTAGGATCAATATATACAAAGACGCTTACAGCGCTACAAAAAATACGCACGCAATTGTCCTCTGCACAGAATGGGATGAGTTTATAGTGAGTGACAATAATGGTCGAACAAACGCTATGTAAGTATATTTCTGATAATTTGTTATATTTTCGAATGTTTTTTTTTTAAGGAATTGGATTATAAACAAATCTACTTTGACATGATGAAACCAGCATACATTTTCGACGGACGGAAAATTTTAGATCACGATATGTTACAAAAGATCGGTTTTATTGTTCAAACTATTGGCAAGAGGATCACAAGGACTGCAATATCCAGAACATGGGGCAGCCAAACTCAAATGTAGATTTAACTATTAATTTGATAAATCCATCTTATTAATCATTACAAAAATGTTTTACTTTTAAAATTTAATGAAAATTTTAAAATACTCTTGTTTGCCTCGTTACCGTTGGCAACATTTGTATAAAGTATTTTCTTATTTAGCAAGTATTTAGGTTTTCTAGATTTTAAGAGTAAAACATTGATATGATTATCGAAGTATTCAGGTACAAGAATAAATTAGCGGAAGTTAATTAATTACTAGTATAAATAGTCAAGGACAAATACGTCTTTCCAACGTATAAATTTTTTAATCCAAGTATAATTTTAACTGTTTGTTAAGAATATGTCAAAAGATTAACTGCAAATTTATCCATTATGGGCATTTACACGACGAGATGAAATAGTACTCACGAAAACAAAACGAGATTTTAAATATTATTTTTCTTTGTGCAATATCAAACTGTACAATCATTACCGTTTTATTATGGTACATTCCTGTAAACATGTACTTTCATTTAAATATTTAGATTTTTTTTATAAAATACCTTGTTAGGTATTTTTATATATTGAATGATTTTTTTTTGCATTTTGGAAGTAATGTATAAGACTCCATTGCAATTTACGAATCTTCTTAGATCATATTTTTACACATTTAAATGATTCCTACCAAATGGTTCTACCATTGTGAACAATGCAATGAAATTGTTACTAAAGTTGTTCTTCGTTCAATGAAGAGGAATACTTTGGTGTTCATAGTATTATATTTTTCTTTAGGGAGATAGTGTTAAGAATGAAGTGGTGAAAAACTTAGTAGTAATGTAATCATTATGATTGATATATTTGTTCATGAAAACGATTTTAAGGAATCATTGAATGAGTATATCAATCATAGTAATTTTACAAATACTAATTTCATTTTATCTGATTACTTACATGAGATTGTTATAGCTCACGTTTGATCATATTTTTATTCCGTATAATATTATATGTATCATTACTTTCTCGATTATAAATGCATCAAATTTATAAATAAACGTTGATAAAAATTTCGTAAAAAGTAAAAAATATATTTCCTATTCTATTTCCGGCTTCTATATATGAGCAGGAACATGTTTCTTTGGCATTCCCTAGACGAGACATATCGTTATTTTTAGACCCGAGTTTCTGTACGCTACTCCACTAAATGAACGAGAATCAAGAAAAAACGTAATTTTTAGAATAAAAGTGAACTGCATTTCTAATATTCCATATCTATCTACCATAAATTTAAAAAAAACAAAGGGATAAAACATAAAATACTACAGTAATGTTGAAAGAAAATTGATAAAAAAGAAAAATACAAAAAACTACAGAAAGAAGGGAATAAATCTGCGAGATACAATTGCAAAGACCACAAGGATAAGGAATGGAAAATACAATAAGGGATACAATAAATCTAAATAAATGAGAAAAAAAGTAGATACATACTGGAAATCGAAGGAAAAAATAAGTACTCGGTATACAAAAATGAACCAATATTAAAGCATTCACTGTTAAGTACATACATTTATTACTGGAAGAGAACACAGGAAATGATAGAGTGATAATCAAAGAATTTCTAAAAGATTACAAAGAGGAAGACTCGCTGTCTGGAATAAAATATTTAGGAAATAAAAACAATGAAAATATTAAGAAAGCAAGAGGGAAGAACATGTTAACCGTAATGTCAATTACAATAACGTACGGAATTATGCTTTATTATAATTCATCTGTAAACCCGGTTTCTAAGTTAGAAATTAGTCGTTCACCGCGATGAAATCCACATAAACGAAGAGCAACGGTTATTCATTAAACGTGTTTTCATCGTAAAGTTCGAACGGTCGACCGTTCAATGTCTCGAACGGCGAGATAACGGATTAATAAAATTTCGCGATTTGTCAAGGTCTCGAGGCGGTCGTACGGCCCTGAGAAGAGTGATGGCGCCGCTGAGGGGACTAGTGGCTGGCAGAAGCATAGAGAGGTAGCAGCAGCGCGGCGGTGACGGCAGTAACGGCAGCAGTAGCAACAGGACAGGTCGCTCGCGCTCCGCCTCAGTCACCGTGAATATTCGCGTGTGATCCCGCGTGACAGTGATCCCGTTGGTGGTTTTTGATAGCGGATCGGTGTGAACGAGGATATGCCGAGGTGGTGTCGTGGTCGCCGGTTGATTAACAGTGGATCGAGCGGTACGTCGACGAGGTGCCAGTGAATTGGTATCTCGTGCTCTGTTGATTTTTTTTCTCCTCGTCGCGCGCGTGTCCTCTCCGTCGGCCAGGAGGGATAATAGGCCGGGCCTATCAGCACAGTAGGAAAATGGCGGCTCGCGTTGCGCGATGTAGACAACGAGGATCAGCGGTGACGGTATACTTCGTGTGACGCGCGCCGTGCATTTACGATTCACGGGGTGGAAAGACGAGGAATAACGTCGAATCCTTCTGTCAAAGTGTGGTGTGCCATCGGGTTGCCGAGTACCCCCGCCATTCGATCCGTGTTGTCGGCGGCGCATTGAAGGGAATAAGCCAGAGGTAGGAAGACAGAGAAAGAGAGTGACCCGAGAGAAAGAAAGAGACGGACATTGTTAACGCATATGCATTATATAGACCGCGAGTCGCGATGAGAGCGGGACGTGAAGAGCGAAGGAAAAACAACACGACAGGCGAGTAACGAAGAACCACTGCGCGTTCCGTTTGTGCTCGCGCGTGTCTCTCTGTGTGTGCGTGGTGTGGTGTGTTAGGTGGTGTGCGCTCGTATGAGAGCGAACGGCGATCAACGGTGACAAGTGTTCCGTCGAACGGGGAACTTCGCCTTATCCCCGCGTCGACAAGAAGATGATATTACGGGCATCGCGGGAGGACCGTCGTGCGTACGTCGATTGCGATCCTCGTGCCGCCGTTTCCTGTCGTCGCCATTGAACTACGGCCGCCCGCTTTCGCGAAAAATCAGTTTCTTTTCGTTTTTTTTTTTTTCGCGAGAGAAGAGTGAGAGGCCGTGTGCACGGCGGTACGACCACGGGATCGAAAAGCTGAGGGAAGATGAGAGGCGCGTGCGACGGCGGCATTGCGAGCTTTCTCGCACTGGCGCTCCTCTGTTTATTCCACACGTCATGCCTTGTGGACGGTATGTAATGCTTTTACTGCCACTGACTGCTCTCTCTTTCACGCTATCTCTCTCTTTGTTACTACACCTTACCGCCTGTTTGTTCGTCCTTCTCGTTCTCTCGTTCATTTCTCTCCCTCTTCCCATCCGTCCGTCCGTCTACCTGTCCCATCATCCTTGCTGCCTTCTGTTCGACCATCGTTCCCGCTCTTTCCCTCTTCTGTTTCCCTCTCTTTCTTTCACTTTCCGAATCCGCGTAACGTTGCGTAAGCAACGCCGGGCACTGCGTGCAGAAAGGGCCGATTAATCTTGTTGTACGAGGTTCTTCGAGTATGCGAAAGGGTACATTTAACCCTTTCATTCACAAATTATCTGCGGGCTATAAAAAAAATGTTCCTTCTTGCTGTGTTATTTTTCTCCTTGCTTGCGTCTTACGCGACGAACACGCGATCCGTAAGAATATTTTGACACTTGACGTATGTTTAATGACGCGTATCGGGTTCGATGACATTGGGAAATAACAAAGTGTTGATTCTTGCTTTGCCGGGTTAGTCGAGAATATGACAGGATGCATTTAATTGACACACACTGTACAAATTTTGTGTCGAATGGACAATTGATAGGCTTGTTTTTGTTTGGTAGAGCTCGGTTAGTATTATTTTCCTTTGCTCCCCGTCAACCGAAACATCTTATTGGACCGTACTGGGAGCAAAGTAGTCGACCGGAACTCGCGAATCTTTCTTGCATGCCGCTTTTAACGACCGTTTTCACTGGCTTCGTGTCACCCGATCATTACGATCACTTTATAATGATTACATTAGTACGACGTGCATCACGTGTCTTCAACCAACGTTGCGCTTAAAACCAAATCGGATGTATTACATTTACTGGCCCGATAAATTGGCACTCCGTGGCGTAAACATGCTGCTAGAAGCAATCGACTTACAGTTAGGCATGACCAGGTGTTGGATATATCGAGGCTGAAGTGATCTAACAATCTAGACTACGTATTTAAAAAAATATAATAATTTTATAATAGGGATCTAACTATTCTGCATTTTATATCGTTAATTTTCGGAGAAATAAACATTTATATACGAACAAACAAAAATGAAACGATGTATGTAATTTTATACCGTTAATTTTCAGAGAGTTAAATGTTGTACATTAAATATATATAGAGTATTTTGTTTTAATTTTTCATTTGTCAGTGGGCACGATTTAACAAGAGTACGGTCACCGTTTCGAAAATAATATTCAAAATATATTTTAAATGTTAACAAATTTCAATTTGGTTTAATAACGGAGTATTAGTAGAACTAGGAATTAAGAATGAAATATTTCAATTGCTCCAATAATAGGATTGTACGCACGTAATGTTACAGTTTCTTTTTTTAAGATACAAAGGATGATTGTTTCGTTACGTCGTAATTACTTGCAATGGAAACGTGTCGGCTTATTTTCATTACGGAGAGTGAAGATAACCAGTATCTGTTCGATTCTGGAACCCAATCGTTTTCGACTGATACGTAATCTTTCGTAAATACGTTGCATACACATATACGTATGCAATTGATTCTTTCGCGAGGCATCACCTTTGAGACTGTGCTACAAACTCATTATTGCAGACATATTCTTACTAACTGTTCTTATCTCCGCCGTCTGTTTACAGTTAATTAGAGTACTTTCTGGTTAACTGTTTTTCTTCTGCCTCTTGTACGCGTTCTACTGACCCTTCTTTGGTATAATTTACGAGCATGTATGCTCAATCTTGCGAAAAAAAGTAGGCTTGGAAATAAACAGATATTTCGTATTTTTATTATAAACCCTGTGCATGCGGACTATTAAGCATTCCTCTTAAAATAAATTGAATACATTAATGTTTTTCGAGGGAATAGATTTTAGTGTCTCTTTCCAAATTTTTTGGTAACATGTTTGTATGAATATTAAATCTATCTGATATACAGAAGATTTTTCATCTTCCTTAATTATTATTACCTGAATTATTATTATCGGCATTGTAGCCTTGAACCCTGATTGACGGTTCGAGTAAACATGTATTATTATAGGTATTCATTGGATAACATTGAGATAAAGTCGTAATTGAATTACGAAAACCTTATCACTTTATACCTAGATATTACGTAATTGGCTTAATTTATTCGTGTAGAATTTATCTGTATACATAATTAGTATGAATAATGATCTGAACGTTCGAGGGTTAACCCACTAGCAGCGGTAAGACGAGTTAATTCTGTTCATTCGTATTCGATTTCTCCTTTCTGAGACTTTTACTTCTTATGTCACTGAATTAATGGTTCTTATTTGTAATCACATCGTATGTCCTATTATGTATTTATGTTTTTATTATAAGGGTGAAGGAATCACCTTGTTTGGATTAGGGCTGTACCAAGTTTTCATGGGGTCGAAATGTATGAGTAGAATCTCCAGCGCTTAATCGACGGTGACACGTCGTTATCCCGCGGATTCTTACGACTATTAGCATCCCCTGGATAAGACGTAGGTCGTAGGTCGGGAAAAAGGTTGTTGGCATCGCGGCAACGACCTTAACTGGACGCTGTGCAACAGTGACGGGCTAACCGTGGTCTTCTATGGTCCTTAATATGTATCAGGGTGATGCAAAAAATATGTACTGCGCTTTTCCAGTCATTTTTCAGTTTTATTCCCTGTTATTTTTCTTCGTACACCAGAAGAATTCAATTTGCTTGTAGAATACTCAAAAACTTTCCAAAAATCTCCTTTCTTCTTCACTTATTGATGAATCACTGACAGCCAGGTCACAAATGCGTGTAACTTCGACGTGTGTGGCACGTCGTTCCAGCGCAAGAGGTTAAGATGATATACCCAAGTACCTTTTGTTCAGTTATTAGCGAAGCTATGTCACACATTATTTACGCACAAGATAGAATGAAGTCATGTAGATGTGTTATACATCATAGATGATGTTCATTCAAAATTCATCCAAAATTCATCTAAAAATTCACTTTATACCATTAACGCTTTCAATGGCTGAATTGTTTCTCGAAACATTTCCAGTTACATATACATATTACGTTCGTATCTCGTGACGAGAATACATTTACACCGTGGTCGAGGATGTATTTACTCCGAGGGTCTCGAAGCCGTATGCTTCGGGCCCCAAGGATAAATTCGCAATTTCGCGAGCCATCGTCGCAACAATGTGAATGTTCCCGGTTGCAAGTGACCGTCGCCTCGTAAAGCAAGGTCTTATATTTAGCGAGTCGAGTTTTCAATCTGACCGGGGGCGTGTAGGTTTGTATCTACCCTCGAATCGCGAAGGAAACACGCTTCGTGTAATCACCGTGCCTAACAATACGTAAGACCCCGTGTACAGATTTATCCTGGTAGATAATAAACTCTCCGTGCTTGAATTAACACGTGTTACACGGTTCACTTCGGTGAATGACAATGTTGCATCTCGCCCCGTACCGTGGGCGTGGTCTTTTCCTCTGCTTTCCATTTCTTCTCCGCGGGCGTAATCTTTCTCTTTGTACAGTGTACACACACAGTTGAAACCCGATATGAAATGATCGTGTCGGAATATCCCTGGGCCACATTGGTGTTGTTTGAAACTTCCTTTTTTTCTTCATTCAGCTTGTAGTCATCACTATGAAGTTATTACTTTGTGGCACGATTAACCGACTACTTGTAAAATTAACACGTTGATACTGCAGTAATGGTTATCGATGACCGCGTGGCGCCATTGATTACAGTTTTAGTAGATCGGAACGCATCAAGTCATAATAGGACTCCATTTATCTGTACAAATCAGCGGTTAAAACTTTAGATGGTAGGAGTTCAGTGATTCTCTATTTCCACAAGTATTTACTCGTTTGGATAATATCTGGATTTTAATTCATCTCTTCTAAACCTGGTGTATAAAATTCAATCTGATAAATGGAATTTCAAATACTGAATTTATGGATGTAATTTTTAAGAGCGTTGTCCTAACATAACCGGGTTCAAATTTGCAAAGTTTTCTAATTACGCGTGTACGTAACAGAAAAATCACAATTTTTCATTTTTGGGTCATTGTACGGTACAGTTTCGCTAGTGTTTCACCTGTTGTGAATACTCGCAAAAGGGAACACGATTACAGACGAGCGTTATCTTAATGCAATTGAGTTTTCGAATGTAGATCTTAATGAGTGCAAATAAATTGTAGAATGTACATACATCCAGCGATTCGTATTTACATGCAAATGTCTAATTAAATATTCAAACTTCTACAACTACTGGCAAATTTACTCATGATATATGAACTTTGATTGCAAAGCAGTAACAGACATTAGTACAAATCATCGATACTTGAGAAAAAGTTGTTAATCGAGAGAGAACAAAAAGAGCAGAATTTTTCACGGGATTTAAGTAATCGTGACATTAATCGATAATAAATTTAACGCAAAAGTTAGCGTAAAGGTATTAAAATTGATCTTGAATTTATTTATTCAAGCTGTCTCCGATTGGATCGCAGATTTAAATACAGATTGCTGGTAATTTACGAACGCATATTCCCGCACAAGAACGAAGATCGTTCGAGGGGATTTAAGAAAACGCGTGACAGCTTGTTGCGACATATAATGGTTTTGTTTATGGACGTAAAAAATAGTCATTAATTCAATAATTCATAAACAGCCGAGTCTATCCCGTGCTGGGACCGGCTGTCGTCGATTAGGAAAACTTGCATGATGACTATTCAGAACCAGTATTATCAATCAAAAATCAAGGAAATCTTCTACTTTTTCTTGTGGATCGATTACAAGCTTGAAGGCCCAAAAGATTAATTATACTTTTTTCCTGTAGTTTATCATTAGAACCAGTATTTCTAAAGTATACATATGTAGTACATATATGTGCATCTAAAACGTTTGAAGTTCTAATACAGGATTACGAAGGCTTACGATTAAAACACCATTTTTAATATCGTAGTCTCAATCTTCTTCGATCATTTTATAAAATGTGTAATTAATAGACATTTA